ACCTTCGGTATCCATAATATAGATTTAGGGTTTTTCGGACCTCGTCGCCACTTTTATATCCTCCGTTATTCAACTTTTATAACATATATTTACTCTGCTATATTATACATGTATACTTGCTCTCTGGCTTAGCGTCTCCTAATCTAATGTCTCGTGACCTAATTTTATATGTCAATCACTTCAGCTGTCCAATCAGCATTTGGATACAACACGTACACACGAACAAATTTTCCTTGTCCAAAAGCTGGCATAACTAGCTTTTGAGCAAGGCAAGGAAATATTGTCAATTTTTTGCCGTACTCACGAGAAAATAAATATAAATAACGATATAATTATGCCTATTTCCCGCTCTTTTATCTTAGATGATTCATTACCTGACGAAGGGGACAGTGCAGCTCAAGTACACATCAATTCCCAATACAAAGTTCGTGTATCCTCGCTCTCCCTGACTTTAAACAAAGCCAAATATCCCCTAGCAAAGATCAAGATTGCAGGACTAACATCTCTGGTTAATATGAGGGAGAATAATATAAGTGTGAAAGGAAAGCTAATGAAGATTAATTTGACGGATATGTCACCTCATGGCAAAATGTACCGAGAAAAGTTAGTACAGTATACATATTGCATCCAAAATTACTAAGTCATGCAGTGGTCGACATTTACGCCATTCCGTATATATACTAACAGGGGTCATTAAAGTGGGGACCGCTGGGTCCGACGATCGCAGGCATATTTCAGAAACAACAGCTTGCAGGCACATTTTGTAAAACATTTGAAACCAGAAATTCTAAAATAAATTTTATAACTCTTATTTTATTATGTATTTTACTATCTGTTACTATTTGACTGTAGTTAATGTTTATTGGGTAACAACCCCTGTATATAGTAAAATGGCTGACGGAATAGTAAAATTCATCATCTCAGTATTCAGTTTGTATAGTAGAAACACTTCTGGTCGGTGTCAATTGACCATTTGCGTAATAGACTAAATTTTGATCTCAACAAAAGTTTCATTACAGCTTGAAAGAGCATCACAAAATTAGTAATATTCCAAAGTTTCGTTGCAAAATGTTGTAAAATGCGGAAAATATAGCCTTGCGAAATTTGCAATTTTCAGTCATTTTAGATTACAAACCGGATTGTGATGCTCTTTCAAGCTGTAATGAAATTTTTGTTGAGATCAAAATTTAGTCTATTACGCAAATGGTCAATTTATAATACATAGATTCTTGTTGCATAAATAAAGTGAACAGTTTAGAACTGTTAGAGATATCAATCTAAGTGCTGATTCCAAATCCATTTCAAATTAAATCTTTTCTGTCTTTCAGGTTTACAACATGTGGAGAGGAGGCTCTGGATTTCGATTATTTCAGGTAAAACCGTAATTGTTGCATCTCTGTCGTGCAGTGGATGCTGGTTAACCAACAATTGTCAGAAAAAGAGAAAATAACAAAACTAAAGATGGGGACTGCAAGTTGTTGTGTTGACAAACAAGAACACGTCATAGATATCTTATATACACTAAGTAAAATTGAAGCCAAGAATATTCCAGCGGTTACCCCCATTTGAATAGATGGCGGTCATGTTGGAGTTTCCCACTCGCTAATAAACGCTTAAAAAACAACAATAACTTTCATCATTTGAATAGTTTAAAAACGTATTTGGAATAGGTTTAACTTAATGTTTAAGTTCCCTGTTTAAGAAATGGAAAACATACGAATCTTCTCATTTCGTGGGAATATCCCGAGTCTGCAATCACGGCTTCAATTTTTGAATTGCAGAATAATTAGATGCACTATCTAGTGTATATAAGATATCTATGGCACACACGGCACAAACGCGGATAAAATAATGACCTGGCTGTTTTAGAATCACGTTTTGATAAAATCCTTTTCACTATAAACGTAAAGTGAACTACAACGTTTCTGAACTTTTTCATTTCATCTTCAGATATGGTGACCCTGACCCAGAATTACGTAATGACTACGACATGAATATTAAACTGCGCATGTCCGCTGTGCAATATGTTCACACGAAGAGATTTCAATCCGAACTCATGGCATTCGGCAATCATTTCGCACAAATACAAGAATCCTTGAGGAGGATGAGAACTGTCGCGGCAGGCAATGAGGTAAAGAAGTCGAGGGGGGTGTTGTTGTTGCACGCACTGAGTTCGTGTACATGAGAACTCACCATCAAGTATTGTCGGCTTAATAGCTCAACAGGTAGAGCAGTGGACTAGATTCATGACGGTTAAGAGTTCAAATCTCGTGTACTTATAAAGTGTTAATCTATAAGAATTACTCACTACCAATCTCTGTAGACTTGATAGCTTAAATCATTGTTGAAAATTGAAAATTTTCAACTTCAAATTTTTTTCCCGACGGAAAATTTGTATCGGCCAATCACATTTTACAAAATGTTTTTGAAATGGGCCTTACGAATTACTCACCACCAATCTCTGTAGGCTTGATAGCTCAACAGATAGAGCTGTGGACTAGATTCCTTAAGCTTACATTTTAGACAAAAGTGATAGTTCTGAACACCACAGTGATCAACACCGTCAATCACTGTGGTGTTGATAAAATTAACCTTACTGATATATTTTCGCAGTCTCTTTATATTTTAAAACGTCACTTGTATATATTTTATTACAGGTAGCCGAAGCGTCAACTCGTGCTACACGAGTATCTCTTGACATAAGTGCCGGTACACCCTTGATGATCTTCCCTAAGTCATCAACGTCAGAAGATCTACTGGTCGCAAACCTCGGTCACATGACCCTAAAGAATCAATTTCTGTTCGTCGGTGAAGAGGGTACGATTCTCCGGGGTCTCAGTTCCGAGGAAGAGGATGATGAACTTGAAATAATAAATGGTGGGTGTGCAGGTTTGTTTGTTTGTTTGTTTGTTTGTTTGTTTGCTTGCTTGCTTGCTTGCTTGCTTGCTTGCTTGCTTGCTTGCTTGTTTGTTTGTTTGTTTGTTTGTTTGTTTGTTTGTTTGTTTGTTTGTTTGTTTGTTTGTTTGTTTGTTTGTTTGTTTGTTTGTTTGTTTGTTTTGAAAGTTATCTTGAAACATGGTGGTAAGACAACCTGGTATTTTTATTTCTTGCAAAAATTTAGGTAGGGTTGCTCGAGTTATTTTTTTTTGGTAAATTTTTTTCGTAAATGATCATGATTGAGAATGATATTCTACGTCGTTTACGGCAGCACAGATGCCACAAACATTTGTTATATCACAAACTGTTTTTCCTGATATAGCTAGTACGAACCGGGTGCGAGAAATTGGCCCGAACCCTTTGCAAACTTCAGATAAGAAGATAAGATAATACTGATGGAGATAAATTTTCAAGTAAATTCTCTTTAGACAAAAGCAGTGTTTCTGGAGCGGACGAACAACCATGTCTGCTTGATCACATGGACGTTGAACTGGTGGACATTGACTTATTCTCGGCTGTATCATTTTTGCAAGAGGGAGATACGTTCTCGTATAAACGACAGGTAGAGATTATTCATTGTACAAAGGTCGGATAGCACTGTCCACCTGATTGTGATTTTTCAACCATTGTAAATACACTTGTAGCTCTCAATTTATAAAAAGAAGCTTTAATTTATAAATACTAAAGTTTAGTCTCGGTTATAGCAAAATAACGGGGAATTTTGGAAAGCTTGACAAAAATCACTAACTGATGGATAGCGCTATCTGGTCTTGCTGCAACCGGAGCGCTATCTGGTCTTGCTGCAACTCGAAAATTGTATGCTACTGTCTTAATACCGTACTTCTTGAGATAATCAGTTGTCTTATGTTTGACAGGGAAACAAGCTATTTAAAGAGACCTGCAAGCTGGATTTAATGATTGAACGAAATTTAGACTGGGCAAGAACCAGAGCTGGTACAGTATGATTTTAGTTGTATTTACTTGTGTAGGTTATCAGTAATGCTAAGTTTCCGTTGTTCTTCTCTATGCTTCCATAAATCAGAACAATAGCAACTAGAGGCCAGTATGCTGTTTGACAAAAGTGTCAGTAGGGTGGAAAAGGCCCATGGTCAAATGTCCTTGTGACTTACTTCCATAGAGCTTAAAACGATCGCTTTCATTAACTGGCTTGATATGAATTCAAAAAGGCCATTTTCTGGCGAATTCAGACAGTGGTTTTTTCTGCTGTCCATAGTGCCCACTATAATTTTTGCCACCTAAAATCGTAGACTTTTTAGCGTAACGTAACCTCAATATCCTTTTTCAGTTCCAGACATGAGTATCTGGGGTGCTCTCTCCTCCATGCACGTTAACCTTGATTACTCTCAGTATGGGTTGATTCTTGGATTTCTGAACCAAAATCTCGGGGAACCCTTGGAGGCATTTGAACGACCATCATCCTTTGTAGCTGACCCTTTGGAAGAAAAGACGGTTAGTATTACAGTTGTTTGTTTAAAATTGTCTAAGTACAAGAGGTGTGCATCGGATTGGATTGGACGTTTATAATCCGACAATTGGCTAATGTTTAAAATCCGATCCGAAATTATCTAATCCGATTCGATCCGAGTTTTGATAATGAATTCCGATCCGAAGAATCCTTTAATAAAATAAATTTTTCATTCAAGTGGAAATATTTAACCAAATAAATATAAAAGCAAGAAATACATGTCAAGAAGCTGACAAAGTGACGTCCAATTGAATTATCAAACGAATAATGCAGCGACAACCGCGTTGTCGTGGTTAATTAATTCATTTTATTTCGAATATCGAAGTCCGATCCGACTACGAAACAACTTTATCAACCCGATCCAATCCGAAATGAATATATTTGTTCCGAAATCCGAACGAATCCGATCGGATCGGATTTGCACACCTCTACTAAGTACACCTTAAGTCTTAGTTTCTACCAGTTCAAGTACGCCTCAGTAATTATTGGAGTGCCAGTTAGGTACAGCTGAAATTGGTGAATCATCGCACCCTGATTAGTTTATTTGTTAGAACAATAAGGACAGTTTTAGAAATGTATAGGTTTTGCATATAGTATAAATGAATTTAATTCTTACTTTTTTGGCTTTTTATCTAATATGTTGTTGTGTGCGTTTCTTCATTTCTAGTCAACTGAAACCAATTTATGGACGACAATTAAGATGATAATTGATCTTGTCAATGTGAAAGTCGAGCTTCTTCCTTCCACCTCGCTCCATGAGCGCAAGACATTCATTGAGCCAAGCTGTTTCTCATTTGCTAAAATAGACTTCATTAAATCAAAGTTTGTCTTCGAGGGCTTCTCTGATTGGTCCAAAACCATGGACTTGGTTTCCCAAGATGTTCTACTTCATGACACCAGGAATGAAGGTTAGTTACATACTTGTAGTTGCACATGTACTTTTATTGAAGGTGGCCAAAAACTGATTTGCAGTTAGGGAGAGGGGGGGGGTTCGTGGGAATGTTGGAGAAGTTCTCAAGTACCGAAAAGCTACAATGGTGATTTGGAAAGTTGTTTTCCGTAGTGCTAACTTGTACGGTTTAGATTTTAGAATTTTTAATTTTTAAGATCTCCTAACTTTTCCAACCGCAGCTCATGTAGTTGTGTTGTTCTGTCCATAGCCTATCGAAGGGGAGATGGCTGTGAGACTCATTAGAATGACAATATAACTCGTTATCTATGTTGGTTAATATCTGTTGTCACCATACTTACCCGTGTGGATGGTTAGGTGCAGAGGTGGTCAGCTAATGATCTCCGGATTTGAGTTACTTGGATTCAGGTCCGAATCACGTGGACCTGTCCATTCAGGACCTGACCACCGAACGTCTGCACCTTATCACACCGAACTTAGTTCGATGGAAATTAAATCGAAAATCCATTGTAGTCATGAGCAGATTACTATTGCAGTTGGCTACGAATTAGCTAATGACCCGAGAGTCTGCTTGGCGCACTCTATATCCGATATCCTGAGGGCACATGTCGTACCCAGACTGCGCGCGGTTCCTATGATATTAACCTTGGTTACTATGTAACCTCATTCAACGTTTATTCATAAATCTGGTCCTTCACCGTCACGTGTGCATTCTATTTTTACCCAACTAACCAATAGCAATGTTTTAGGAAAGTCACGTATCCGTGACTCGAACAATAGGGAAACTGGAAATTGCTATTGGTGGATTTGGCAGAAATACAATACACACGTGACGGTGAAGGACCATATTTTTATGAATAAACGTTGACTAACACAGATAATGAGTTATATTGTTATTCTAATGAGTTTCACAGCCATCTCCCCCTTCGATAGGCCATGTTCTGTCTTAATTTAAAGTTCCCAGTTGCTGGTGACGACAAGCATACTCGACCGAGTTCATGTGCAATCTTTTAACCATATTCTTTTTGGTTGTATTCTGCTATCGCAAAGTCTTTATTAACTGGTGACCCTTGGTGGGTCCCTAAGGAGAAAGGTTTTGATGAAACTAGCTATTCGAATGGAAAGGAATGTTTTCAATATTTTCATTTCTTATAGGATCAAACGATCGTTATTTTAAAGAAGTGCTCCGTCCTGGCAAGCGGCTAGCAGTCAGTCAAACAGGGAGACGTGACAATGCTCTTATGTTTGAAGTTCATTATCGTGACAGCCCAACGAGAACAAGCATGACATTTATATTCAATAACAGTCGCATCACTCTGTTGCTTGACGCCATTTTGGATATCTACAACTTCATCATGAACAATTGGGACAGACCTAGTCAAGGTATGGTAACTAATGTTTGTGGGTGGTAGTGTAGGGGAAATATTGTATTTAGTATTTACTCTATTCACCCCCACCCCACCCAACCCCACCCCACCCTCTGTTAATTGAATCAGTTTCAATATACACGCGTAAAAATCATCATGTTGATGCAAGTTGTTCAAAACAGGAGTGAACAATGTTGTGCTGCACCCCGTGAACAATATTGTCAACAAGTTGTTGAACCATCAGTATTGTTGCAACTTGTTGACAATCATGTTAACAACTTGCAACAGTACTGATGGTTGAACAACTTGTTAACAATATTGTTCACGGGGTGCAGCACAACATTGTTCGCTCCTGTTTTGAACAACGCCGAACAACCTGATCAATTTTTACCCGTGTATGTATAGCGAAATACGAACCCTATATGGTATGCACAGATAAGACTGAATCTAAAGATGCACTTATTTGAACTGATGAATTTTTAATGAGAAGATTGTATTGAAATTTTTCTTCACATTTCTGTCTGGGACGATTCTGTAAATTGATAAATTTTTAAAGAACGTGAAAATCTATTTAACCATCAGCCTCTACCCACACTTCTACCGTCTGAGCTTTTTTTAACCCCCTGTTTAGAACCACTGGGGAAAATAAGATCTAAGGGGGCTAAATAGAGCACATATGGTCGCTGAAAAGAAGGCGAGCAAAGGGCATTGAACCATTTCTTTAATACTTAGGAAAGGAATTTGTTTAGCTCCTTCTATTGACGCATCCCTCTCCCATCTCAACATAGCAACACTTATTGTATATCCTTACTATAGATTTATTAATTGTCCTCAAAATTTAGCGTGACGTTTTGTTCATATTTGCATTTACATTTCCACTCGATAATTTCCATCTACAATTAGACCCTTCAACTATTATTCAATCGAGTGAGATGCTAACAAAATCTTGATATTTACCCATAACCTATACATGGCAGTACCCTAATATATATACATGAACTTGTGGTTAGAGCTCGACTACTGGCTTCTGTAGCTCAGTTGGTTAGAGCGCTGCATCAGAATCGCAGGGCCGCACGTTCGATTCCTACCAGAGACCTAAAGTTGCATTTTTCGCAACTGTTCCTGGTTAAAGTGCACCTGACCTCAATTCTTTTTATAATTTCATTCTGAAGAACTTCTGAAATTATATAATAACTTATTTTGAAGATTTTCGTTTGCACACTTTGTCTCTGAGTTATTTCAGTTTTATTGATATGCAGATGTCCGGAATTTACGTCACAAATGCATAATGACTTAAAGTAAAAGCTTGTATATCGCATTCACTATCGAGTTTAAATCATTAAAATCCATAGTGACGTTGTGGGAGGATTACATATACCTATGTAAAACACCATTTAGCCTTTTTATTTCATGATATTTAACTGTACCTTATTCTTTGATCGGTCATTATTCACATGTGACGTAAATTCCGGACATCTGCATATCAATAAAACTGAAATAACTCAGAGACAAAGTGTGCAAACGAAAATCTTCAAAATAAGTTATTATATAATATCAGAAGTTCTTCAGAATGAAATTATAAAAAGAAATGAGGTCAGGAGCACTTTAAGTCTAATAAATCTATATAAATTTCCACTCGATAACTTCCGTCTACAAGATTTTTAAACTAATCAATTGGCCTTCTTTCCAGCGAGCTTCCTCTTAAATGTAACTGAAATAAGTAAGCCCCATATTTACTCGTGGAAGGGGTATTTTGTGAATTTAGATAAAAATGAACAGGCTGTGGCAACCAAACAACAATCTACCGATGAAACAACTGAAAACGGCAGCATTCAACAGGCGGATCAACAACCTGAAAACAAGAACCAGGTCACTGTTCTGGTCATATTAAAACAATTATCGTAACGATTTATCGTAACAAATTTTATGAATTATCACAAGAGATTTTTGAACAATTATCGTAACTTGTTATATAAATTATCGTAAGAAATTATATGATTTATCATAAGAGATTTTTGTTAAAACGTTTTGTGTTTTTTGTTTTCCCTTATATTTTTTTCTTTTCCGTTTTTTACAGAAATCGTTTGAAATGAAAGTGAATGTATCTGGTTCAGAATTTGTTGCACTTCAAAATGTAGATGTCGAGGATACTGATGCCGTTATACTCAGAGTAAGTGTTGTACCGTGGTTCCAGAGGCACTTAAACAACAGCGAAGCAAAAGAAACTATAGATGACGGAAAAGCTTCTGGTCAAATCGATTGCGAATTTTATTTCCATACTTGATGGTTCAGAATCGCACTACATATTTAACAGGCTAACTACATCAGTTAATAAAAACTGCTATATTTTTATTAGCATGAAAAAGTAAATCTATAAACTTTTAGTACTATTTAAAACACTAGCTGATCTATCAGATTTTTAAAACACGAGGCGACAGTCGAGGATCTTATATCTGATAAAGCACGGGTGGCAAACGACTCATCTTATGAGTTCATTGGCGAAGTAATTTTAAAAGACAACTTTGTCTAAGCCGAGAAAATCAAAGCTAAAGTTTATGTAAATTAACATGATTTTTTATCACATATAAAACCACGACACAGTAGTGATTTATTTTGTCGTTTCCTCATGAATTATTGATATTTTCCTCATGAATTATTGATATTTTTAAAGTTTAATAAAAATGAGACTTGTGCTGTTAAAAAATGCTTCATAATTTGCTTCGCATTAAAAGCGTTGACGTTCACATCATAAAACATCACGTATCTTTCAATTTCATAGATGACAGCTGTCCTGGCTTGGCGTCCGCATTACAAATCGCAAAAGCCACTGTCGTGTAGTGTCCAGAGCCTGGAAATCTTCTCATGTAACTTGTCATGCGAGGACGACACTGCTTTATCTATCATCGATCCAATGGCGGGTCTTATTGAACTCAACGCTGCAGAAAGACTTCACAAAAGAAAAACGCAAGGCCTACTTGATGCTACCCTCGAATCCCTGCCCAGTCTTGAGGTTATTATTATTATATTTATTAAACTTAAATGGTAACCCTTCTAGGTTTTTAACGTAAATTATTGCAACGAAATAATTATTCTTCTTTTCCATAAAATAATTCGTTTTAGGTGACATTGAATTCTCTTAATATGAGAATATCTTATCATGACTACAAGTTGTTCCAGAGGATCGCGGAGTCGCTGTCTAAGCAATTGTCTAAAGCTATAAAAAAGGAGAGGGCTGGATCCGAACCAAAGGTCGAGGAAGTTGAAAGTAACCCGTATGTTCATGGTAAGTTTATTGTTCACTTCACTGAATATGCAAAAATTGAACTGGATTAGATTTTTTAATTCAAATTTTAGTTTTGTTTTGTTTTGTTTTACACCAGAGCTTGATATAGCTCTACTAAACTGGATATAGCTCTATCGGTTCCGAATGTTTTCCCAGAGGTCCATTACTAGACACCCCTTCGGCTTTAGTGTTACTACAAGAGGAAACTAAACTGTAAGCAAAGAAAATTAAACTAAACTGGTGGCAAAGAAAATTTAAAGCTCTCATCAACGCGCAATCATCACTTGCACAAAGCTTAAGTATTAAACGATATTTGTCTCGCTTATTTTCAGGTCCATCACTCAAACGCTTACAAGAACTTGGCTTTGATGAAAGTGATTGTGTCAGAGCATTAGATGCGTGTCGCGGTGACGTTGAGTCAGCGGCTACGTGGTTGCTTCTTAATGCTAAACCTTCCCGACCGGCCGAACAGCTTACTGGGACTGAAAACAAGAGCAAGCTCTCGGGTTTTGAGGTAATTTATAAACTAAACTAAACTTAACTTAACTAAACAAAAGCAAGTAAACGACAGCAAATCGTATGGCTTTTAAAATTTTATCGCAACTAATTGAAATTCAGTGTATTCTTGATAAATTCTGGACATCATTTCGATCTTGAAAATAGATCTTATTTCAACATGGCTGCCGAATAAATATTCTTTTATGTTATAAATTAAGCCCGTATGTATTTTTGTCAATATGATCTACGTTAAACCATAGCCTATCGAAGAGAAGATGGCTGTGAAACTCATTAGAATTACAACATAGCTGATTATCTATGTTAGTCAACGTTTATTCATAAATCTGGTCCTTCACCATCACGTGTGTGCGGTATTATATATATATATATATTTGCCTAACTAATCAATAGCAATGTTTTATAGGAAAGTTACTCCGTGACTTGAACAATAGAGTGAATTGGAAATTGCTATTGATGGATTTGACCAAAATACAATACACACGTGACGGCGAAAGACCTTATTTATGAATAAACGTTGACTAACATATAGATAATGAGTTATATTATGATAGAGTTTCACAGCTATCTTCCCTTCGATAGGCTATACGAGTAAACTAAATAAAATGAATAACTTTCTTTCCTTTAATTGAGGCTTTTCGCTTTTTACGGTTTTATCTTCCATTTTGTTTCTGCAAAATCAAAAATATTTGTGGTCCCGTGGTCTGTTATATTGTGCATCCCTGGAGAAGAATAGTTCCAGTTTGGCTCCACCAAACAGCGAGCATGGTATAAGATTCAATGACCTGGAAAATACAAAAAAGAACTTCGAAGTTTGGAAAAAGTTATTTTCGTATTTTTCAAGTGGTTGAATCTTCTACGGTGTGTTCGCTGTTTTAGAGTCAAAGTGGAATCACTCTTCTCACGTGCGACTGAAGTGAAGTATCATCAGACAACTGTTTATTGCAAACATCAAATTTCGACCAAGGGGTCAAAGAAAGGCATGTAATAACTACTTTGCCATCAACACTCCTGGATTCGCTCACACAAAACGATTTTTTTCGGAAGACTGGTATTTTGAAGGTCGAGTATGACTTAGTGTTTGTATAATTTCTTGTATTTTAGATTCGTGCAAATTCTATCTGTGTGTGTCTGATTGATGATTGCGGAGACAACGATGTTCCTCTTGTAGAACTTCTGTTACAAAGTAAGTAAATCTTGCACAGTTATAAACTTATGATACACGTGAAGTTAAGGAGACTGTTCGTCCATTAGAACACTCTAAATTTATTGGTGTTGATAACAGGTTGTTGAAACAGCATTGATATACTGTAATGCTTGTGATGTTATTCTGAGTATATATCCACACCGGGCAAGCTTGAAAAATATGCCTGACCACGGTGGGAATCGAACCTACGACCTTTGGAATACTAGCCCAATGCTCTGCCAACTGAGCTACGCGGTCTGGTCGGTTCGAGCATGTGATACTTCGATTCCCACCGTGGTCAGGCATATTTTTCAAGCTTGCCCGGTGTGGATATACACTCAGAGTAACATCACAAGCATCATATTCACCTGAGTACATTACACCAACAAAGAAAAAATCATGATTATTAGATTACATTGATATCGAAGGAACTAGATTCTTTTCCGAATTATCACATGCCCGAACCGACCAGACCGCGTAGCTCAGTTGGCAGAGCATTGGGCTAGTATTCCAAAGGTCGTAGGTTCGATTCCCACCATGGTCAGGCATATTTTTCAAGCTTGCCCGGTGTGGATATACACTCAGAGTAACATCACAAGCATAATATTCACCTGAGTACATTACACCAATACAGAAAAAATCAGCATTGATATAAGTTGGTTTGTTATACAAGTTGTGCGTTTTCATGTGTGTTGTTATTTTACCTGACGATGAAATGTTTCTTATTCCTAGATCTGTATTTCTGGTATGAACTTCATGGTGTTAGTGATAGTTCCGCTCAATGTACGCTTTCCTCTGACTACTATAATCGCAGTGTATCAGGATGGGAACCTTTGGTGGAACCTTGGAAGTAAGTTGAACTAAACTAAACTAACTTTATTTGTACTAGATAGCTCTGTCTGTCCTAAATTTTAATTGTTCTACCTAGGTGTCCACTGGCGCCAGCCTTTATTCGTCGAGTATTACTAGTTAAACTAACTTGCACTGGATAACGCCATTAGTTCTGAAATATTCTTCCTAGAGGTCCAGTAAGGGCTGTTTTCAATGCTCCAGTTAACAAAACCATCGATATCTTATATACACTAGATGATAGCGCATCTCTTTTAGTAAAATTGAAGCCAAGAATATTCCAGCGGTTATCCCCATTTCAATAGATGGCGGCCATGTTGGTCGTTCCCACTTGCTAATAAACGCTTAAAAACAACAATAACTTTCATCATTTGAATAGTTTAAAAACGTATTTGGAATAGGGTTAACTTAATGTTTAAGTTCCCTGTTTAAGAAATAGAAAACATACGAATCTTCTCATTTCATGGGAACGACCTAAGACTGCAATCACGGCTTCAATTTTTGAAATGCAGAATAATTAGAAGCACTATCTAGTGAATATAAGATATCTATGAACAAAACATGTCATGTTTTTATTTTTTTAAGATGTCAAGTTCACTGGCAAAAACAGAGAAGAACCTTAAATACTCCCGAAAATTTGCTTGTAAAAGTTGATGGTAAGTTAGCGTATTGAGGCAAAGTATGATTTTATAGTATTACAGTTTATCTACTGTAGTTCTAACGTTTTGAATAGCTGGAGGGTGAGTAGTCACAGAGTAAGATACGAAATTAACCCTTCAGCTATTCAAAAACTGCACTGACACTCAAGAGAAGCTCAGATTGAACTTCCACTCTTTGAGACTGTGAGTGAGCTTTTGGAATACAGGCGTTTGCCTTCAACAGGCTTATAAATAAGTGAATGCTTTGGGCCGGTATTGAGAGCCAAAACCACGAGTTGAAAGGCTGGTTTTTGTGGCGCGGTCGTCAAAGCAAGTGTCAAACGTTTTCTAACCATTTTCTTCTATTCCAGCCGCAGACCGTCTCGACCTAAATATCACGAGCTCTCTCATTGCTATGATACAAAACACGCTGAAGAACTGGTCTGAAGATTACTATGGCCCAGCCTTCCTGGACTCATCGCCCAGCAAGCGGGATCCAGGCCCTCAGCAAGATGATGTGCCGTCAGAATCGAGCTCAACGGAAGTTGTTGCTGCCGGGCATTTCAGAAAGCGAGCGCCGTTTGTACCGTTCTTGCTACGAAACGAAACAGGTAGGATAAACCGTTAGTTTTTCTTGAACAAAAATGACCAATAGGTTGACTAGCTAACTAATTGTATTTACTTGATACCTCTACCAGTTCTAATATGTCTAGGTGTAAACTAATATGTCTAGGTGTCCAGTAAAGATCTCAAAGTCATTAGTAATTCATGAGTCCTAGCATTGGATCGAAGTTGATTCAGTCCTTGGTTGGATTTTAAGTATGGATAATAAAATAAATGGATAGGAAACTAGCTGACGTGACCTACTGGACTGATGACCACTGGACTGATGGCGTGTTTGGATGCCTCAACCTAGTTGAAAACCAAATTCTCAGAAACGGCATGTTTAGCAATAATACAGCTAAACATTTCAGTCCAAGAGCAAATAAATATAACCACGCCATTCTACGATTAAAACTATAAAACGATTAAGTATTCCCAGTCAATTTTAGCAAATATTTCAAGCACTAAATAGTGAAAACTACATCGCAAATTCCGTTAAAATTTGTGACGCCAATTTCGTAGCTACAAATGTAAAAAAATACAAAACAAAGACGAAAAACATTTACCTTGAATACTTTGTCGTGACTTAGGCATGTTTTTAAAACAATTAGACTAGTTTATGCTTCAATATCACCCTTTTAAAGTGGAAAATATAGCAAAACAACAAAAATGCCGAGAACTTTGGTAATATTCGCAACACGCGTGACGTCACGTTTTTTCAACAAGGTTGCGGCCAATGACGTCAGAAGTTTCCTATCCATTTATTTTATTATCCATGCTTTAAGTAGTGATTATTTATTCGTATGAGATCCAAATCCTCCAATGTATGATTCCAGCTATCAGACTAAATTTTGATCTAGGCAAGAAGAACAAAATCCATCACCACAGCTAGGAAGAGCATGTTAAAATTAGTAAAATTGCAAAGCTTGGTGGCAAAATGTTGTAAATTTTACTAACTTTTTAACATGCTCTTTCTAGCTGTGGTGATGGATTTTGTTCTTCTTGCCTAGATCAAAATTTAGTCTGTAGCTGGAATTGCCCATTCCGTCTGGCTAGATTCCATTCTGTCTTTCTTTCAGGTTGTTCCTTGCATTTCGCAACGGTGACGTCATCACCTTCGAAGGTTGTCATGACAACGACAGGTCTGGTATTCTCAGGACGTGTACATAACTCGAACATCAGTGATTCGTCGAAGAAACTCTCTGAATGGCGAGAATTGTTACCTGGGGACGAAGTTCCCTTCGAGTTCAAGCAATCACGTGAAAAACAAAGACACAAGGTGCGTTGAACATGTTTAGAGATTAATTTATTGTTGGTCCAGTATTACCACAGGAGGAACTATTTCTATTTAAACTCAATAGCTATATCAGATCTAAACTTATTAGTTTTGTGGTAGAAGGAAATCGAAATACTTGGAGAAAATCTGCACGGTTTGGTAGAGGCAAAGTGGAAGCATTCTTATACATGTGACTGAGATGAAATTATTGTCAGACAACAACTCCACATCGCAGGAATCGAATTCCCATACCCGAGTTGTAAGAGAAATAAGGGTTGTTTACCATTTACATGGAAATTCCGGTGATTCCATACGGAAAGTAAATGGAACAAGCATATTTCGACGGCCCAACCGGAACTTTTCCGGAATGAACGGTTTGTTTGAAAAGGTTGTCCTCTCTTACCGTTTGGAACGTTTCAACCAGTGAATTTTGTTCCATTTACATTTTTTAATTTTTTTTCACCAGTTCCAGGCTCTTCGCGATTTAATTCAAACCGAATAGGTTTTCCATGTAAATGGTAAACAATCCTTTAGTGCCTTCCGGTCACTCACTCTAAATGGAAAGCGCATAATCCGAATGGGATTTTCTATCCGAAATTTTGCTTACCATTAGCACAATTTCAAATCGGATGGGTTTTCCATGTAAATGGTAAACAACCAAGAACCTAGATTTTTCCAAGCCTAAACAGGTTCTTGACTAGGTTTTATTTTCCTGTTTTCAGTAGGTAAGATATAATTTTAATTTATAGACATACACAATGTATCTCCAAAATAACAGTACTTCCATTACTTGATATGGCAAATATGCTATTTTCATTGGTTCGTAAAGATTTAGTTTGGACTCTGTTTGTAAAAATAAGAAACTTCTTTAAAATTCTAACATTCACCAACCGCTCTGTGACTACCTTCAATTCAATTTTCAACAACTATAGACATTCTTTCTTGCAGGAAACTCACGAGTTAAAGGTTCATCAACTCGTTGTTCAGCTGGAAGGTTGGGAACAAGTCTCGCCAGTCTCCGTGGATAAAGTTGGCGCGTTCTTCAGACAAGCTATGCCAGCAAAAGGCGGTAGCAAGGTTAGTTACATGGAATATAATACCGTTTAGTTATATAGCAAAACCCAACACTGTATTTTTATTATATTATTTTCACACCGATAATGGTACAGTAATAGAGTTAAAATACCTCGGGGTTCGCTGGTTCAAGGTATTTACCTGTGTCACACAGTTACTCGAATGGCAATTTTGCCCCGTACTTGAGATGGTACATTTCATGCCAGTCTACATGACCATCATTTTGGGTAGGGCACGTGCCAAAATTTAAACGCGCCGTGCCCGAAATGAATATGGCGCTTAAGCATGTAGAACGGCAACACGACGGCGACGGCAACCAATACAATGAGTCAATGAAAAGATGTAAATAATTAAAGTCCCAGGGGAGTTTCAAACGTATATATAGCCTAGTTGTCGCTCTGTTACAACGGCAAATCACAGATTTTCGCGTCTTTTATACAACGCCTGCATTTCAAGCCATCACAAGTGCAACTTGAAATTCGGTTCAGTAGAACTCTTTCCAAACATAAAGCCAATGTTTTCAACTTCTTATACTGTATTAAATTCATACAAATTATAATATACAACAAGTTTTCTTTACAATCATTTATTTGAAGGAATTTGTTTTGGCCGTCGTCGCCGTCCTACATGCTTAAGCTCCCTAATGTCGTGTAAACGGGCCTTCACACGACACTTGTGCGATTTCCTTCTTCTAATGGATATGAACGAGTAAATATGTTATGAATGTTCAGATGAGGGAACACGTACTTGAAACATTCATAACTCAATTACTCGTTCACATGCGTTAGAAGAGGAATATCACAAAGTCACTCTTTCTGAAAGATTTTTATTCAGTAACCTAAAACTCCGCTTGGAAAATGGCTGGTCGTATGGTACCAGAAAAATGTAAGTACGCAGATACCGACAGTACATGCGTACCTATACGTGGTACTTGGTTAAAAACAAAGAAGTACCAAACTTTAATATTGCCATACCGCTTGTACATAAGTACCGCTTGTACATAAGGTTATTTTTGTTACCTCTATTTTGCATTCTTTTGCAATAAGCACTAATTTTAAATTTGTTTTCCAGTCAGTTCGTTTGAATCCAGCGAGGGTTGTGTTTGATATCAAACTAGAAAATGGAGCTCAGAAAGTCGTCACTGTCAAATCTGCCTTGGTCTTGAAAAACAAGACAGACTTTCCTCTAGAAGTAAAACTAGAGTTGCCAAAAGGTATTGTGCTGGCTACTACTTTAACAATTGTGCTGATCACTCCCCGCATGATCAATGATAGTTTATTTAGATATATCATTGCAGCCAAAATGGCTGAATTGTATGTAAATTTACATGATATAAAAGTTAAAAGTGATTACAATATAGTGATATGCTAATTTTACATGTAATATCCAACAACTAAATATATCAGGATTATAAAGTTTTCCTGCTTGAATTACTAAATATAAAACTATTTTTTGTCTATAAGTTCTTTGAATGTTTGCATGGCGATAAAATATAATTGTTTTTGTTTGTGGAAACACCACGTAAATTTATTACTGCAAAGCTTTCGATCCGTAAGCCCGGATCTTCATCAGTGCTAATAATATGTGACTTGTTGACAACAAGGTTGTTCCTAAAGGATTACGCATCTCAACGCAATATCATACTAAGTATGCGCGAAAGATCTTGATGAAAGCCGAGTTGGCATTAGTAAGAGAACGAATTGCTTGGACTCGTAGACAGTTATGCAGAGTGGATGACGTATTTTATCTTTGAATGAAGAATTGTGGATGACTTTAAATGAAGAACATTATGCGACAGCTAAAAGAATGATCTCTGCGTCTTCTACGAAAACTTTCAACAAAGCACGTTCCACTCAGATTGCCAAATTCACAAAATTGACGTCCTTTGGTCGGACGCATCGCAGACAAGAAGATTTGGCCAGTCATCCACTACAACGCACCGTTATCAATATGAGTGCTAGAAGACTTACGCCGGTTGAAGAAGATGTCTTGGCTCTTGGATTAAATTTCGCTGTGGTACCCCGTGTTCTTCCTAAAGAAGAATTCGTACAACGTTTGGAACCGAAGTTATACCACATGACGAACGATGAAGCTAGTAACATCCGCGTCCAAATCACCGAGGTTCTACGACGTGCAACGCTTCCAGCTTCGAATTTAACCAAGAATAAGAAGGATGCATTGAAAAACTTAAGAGCAGATTAGTCAATACATATTTTAAAGGCTGATAAGGGTAACGCTACGGTTATTTTAGATCGTCTAGAATATGATAATAAAATCCTGGCTCTTTTAAACACTTCAACTTATAAAGAGCTTAAAAGAGACCCTACAGCTAACATTGAACGTAAAATATGTTCCAAACTATCTGGTTTTAAAAAGGCAGGTATTTTGTCTCAAACACTTCATAATTGTTTGAGACCTTCAGCTACTGTTTGTCCAAAAAATTTTATGGTTTACCTAAGATACATAAACCTAATGCCCCACTAAGACCTATTGTAGCGTCCATAGGTTCGCCAACGTATGCCCTGGCTAAATATCTCGCTGAGATATTGAAACCAGTTGTTGGAAAAACAGATCATCATGTAGTAAATTCTAAAGAATTTGTAACAAAAATGGAACAAATTAGATTGGGTAAGAATGACATTCTGGTAAGTTTTGACGTAGTTAGCTTGTTCACTAATGTTCCAGTTGAAGAGGCTTGTAATATCGCGAAAGAAAGACTTCTTTCAGATATTACATTATCTCAAAGAACTAATCTTTCTCCTGAGAATGTTCATGATTTGTTGAAACTATGTTTGACTACGACATGTTTTCAATGGCGGGAGAAATTCTATGAACAAACAAACGGCGCTCCAATGGGAAGTCCATTGTCGCCTGTTATGGCTAATTTGTTCATGGAGGAATTTGAAAAGAAG